GCCGCTCTGACCCCCTAACAGCAGGGATGTAAACCAGCAGAATCTTTCTGGAAGACTATTTGCAATGAATGTACATCAAGTTCCCTAAAAATGTGAATACTGTCTGAGATGGTAATAATCATAATGATAAATGCCATTTACTATGCATTTATCTGTAATCCAGCCTATAACTCCAGTCCACTACCTCAACATTGTTTTTGTTTGTGCCTGCAGAATCTCTGATATGAACTATAGAAATATATTCTGAACAAGGGGTTGGTTGCTTAAACAGCTGTTTACTGAGCACTTACTCTATAGATAGGCTGAGCCCTCACAATTCTAAATGGAGAAAGGGAGGGGGAGGGGCTGAGAGAGCCCAAGTGAGGGAAGACCTAGTCATTATGCTATTTATTCTAAAGTGCATTTAACAACTTTCTGTTAGTTTTCAACCCTTGGAAGGTAAATTGTGTCAGTTAGTAACTGTGATTTGGAGCAAATTGTTTAATCTCTCTAAACCTGAGTTACTTTTAAAAGTTGAATAATAGCCCCAGCCCAGGGTTGTGAAAAACAGATGAGATAATGCAAATGAAAGAGGTATCGTGAAGGAATTATGGCCTTAGGAACATGTTATGGTTTGGAACAAACTCCCAGATGGAGACTCTATCAGAATCAATCAACTTGAGTGGTGCTGTCTAGCACAGCAGCCACCAGCCACATATGGTTTTTGGACATTTGAAATGTGACTAGTCTGATTTGAGATATGTTGTAAGTGCAAAATACACACAGGATTCTTTTGAAGACTTAGTATGATTAAAAAAAAAGAATGTAGAATACATCTTTAATAAATTTTTATATGGATTACATGTTGCAATGGTAATATTTAGGATCTATCTGATTCAATAAAATATTAACATTAATTTCACCTGTTTCGTTTTATGTTTTAAATGTGGCTGCTAGAAAATTTTAAATCACATATGTGGCTCACCATATATTTCCATTGGGCAGCTTTGGGTTTGACTTGGGTAAGAAAGTTTCTCTGTGCCACCCAAGAAGTGAAAACAGCTCTGGACTGCAAAACTGCCCACCTGGAGCCAGATTTCGCTCAGAGATTCCCCTGTTCTCCACCCTCATCCTCAGCCCCCACTTAAATTCAGCCTAAGTGCATGGTGCGAGAGTGATCTTTCAAGGTGAAAATCTGTTCTCATCCTTGTTCCTTTGCTCCCCCCCCCCCCCCAGGTTCCTGTTGGCCTTTCGGGATGAAAGCCGTACCCTCAGCACAGCAGTGTAACCTGGCTCTGGCTAACTCCCTTCAGTTTCACCTCTTACCCCTCCTCCCTCCAGCTCCTTGCATGTGCTGTGTTTCTGCTATCTCCGTGTCTTTGGGTTGGCTCTTCCTTCTCCCTAGAATGTCCTCTGCTACCTGTGCACACCCTCCCAAGCCTCTGCATTAACTATACCACCGCTCTTACCCAAGGGATTGTCCTCCAAGACCTGGCTTAACTGTCACTCCTCCAGGATGCCTTGCCTGAACTATCACCGTCTAAGGAGACATACTCCACTCTATGCCCTCTAAAGGCAGACCCTGCATCTGCCTCGGTGGGGACACTTACAGGTCTGATTTCCTGCTGGTTTGCTTGCCTGTTTGCCTCATTTCACTGAGCTCCTTAAAGGTGAGAACTTTGCTTTTTTATCTTGAATCGCAGGACCAAGGCCAAGGCTGGCACATAGCAAACTCTCCACAGGTATATGCCAATTGAACCAAGAAGCAATCAGAGAATTGACCAGTGATCATCTGCACCCGGGTGGCATATCAATGAGCACACTCAGAGATGCACGTGACAGAAACCTCCACTCCAGCTGGCTTTGTTGGCTCATGTAACGGAGGAATTGAGTGATTCAGCTGTCCAGTCAATGTCCCTGATACATTTTTTTTTCTTCATTTCTTTACCTTTCTCCTATGCTGGCTCCACGTGAGGAGATTCTGGTAACAAGATGGCTGATAAGTACACCCCTCCTGTTCCCAGTTAAGAAAAACAATGTCAGTGACCGTGATCCTTCATACAGAGGGTAGGTAGAATTTACCCCTGTTGCCCCTAATTGGCCTATCTGGGGTCATGTGCCCAACTGTGAACTAATAATTATTGACCTGTGGGTAGAATGCATTGATTGGCTCAGGTTTGATCCTATGCTGAAGCCATGGAATTGAGGTGGTGGAGCTGGCTTCACCCCAAGCAAGGAGCTGAAAGTGGAAGTTCCCTAAGGCAAATCAGGGTACTATTTCTACCAGGAAGGGAATAAATGTCCACTGCTATGAAAGAAGAGCCCTGGGGCAAGTTGGTTCTAGTGTTCCTTCCTTTACAAAAGTAGACATTTTAGGGATCATGGGTCTCGAGAGAAATTCATATTCTTAAAACAGTGTTGATTTTGTTTTTCCCTTGCTGTGGCATTTCCAGAGAGTCTCTGTAAAATAGGGTTTATCCTTGTTAAATTTATAGGTAGTATAACCTGTGTAAATCTATTGGAGACTATAAATTGACTGGAGAGATAGGTTAGAGAAAGTTGAGACATACAAAATCCTACTGCTGCTTGGTAAAGCCTTGGTATCTTTCCTGGCTTGAAAACTGACTCAGGGAAAGTGAGAAAATTGCTAAACCCCAAATCTCTTTCTGGTGAAATGGGGCACGCTGGATAGAGACATTTGGTGTCCCTTGGAAGAACAAATCTTTAGTATCAGGGACAGTCAGTTTGAGGGCACCTCACAGTAGCTCCTTCTGTACAAATTCATTCATGCAAAACTTTTGAGTGCCTGCTGTTCCCGCTGGCACTGATAGGTGGAGGAGAGAAGGGTAAACAAAATAGACTTCAGGGAGCTTACATTACAGTGGAGGAGAGAGCCATTAACACACACAACTAACCTTCTTGCAGACTGAGCTACATGCTATGAAAAAGTTTGAGTAATATGAATGAGAGGAACTAGGGGAGAGGTGGCTGTTTTAGATAGGCTGGCCAAGGACATTTTCACTAAGGAGGGACATTACAGCTGGTGCCTGAATGATGAGAAAGTACCAGTCATGCAGTAACTACTTAGGACTTCCCAAGAATACCAAGGGCTTAGCTGTCTGGGGAATAGAGAGGAGACCCTTGCTCCTCAAAGTGGGGTCCCAGACCCACAGTATCAGTATCACCTGGGAGCTCGTTAGAAATGCAGAATCCCAGATCCCACCCCAGAATCCACATTGTGAGTCAGAATCCACGTTTAACAATATTGCCCAGATGATTTGCAGGCACGGTAAACTGTGAAAAATGTTGGACTCTTGACCTTTTCTGTGGCCGGCTGGAAAGGTGTAAATCCTGCTGAGGCAGCGAGCAGGGAATGTTGATGTCAGCAGTCACTAGAAAGATGACATGGTAATATGTGCTGCTGCCTCTGTAGCAGGCTAGCCTGGCTCCAGCAAAAGACCATGAGGTTTTCACATGTTAGGGTCCAAGAGATTTTCTAGGTTATCCCACTTGTTTTACAGGAGACTGAGGTTCTTTGAGAGATGTGACGTGCTCATGGTGGACTCCTTTGGGACAGAGCCAGGACTAGGAGCTAGGAGTCTCCTCTCTCTGTGCCACCTTTTAAATATTGACAGGACAGATTAGAGCGAGTGTGGAGGAGGGAAGGATAAGGTGATTGGGAAATATTTTCACGTGAAGTACTGGAAGTGTTTGGCCTTGGTCTTTCATTCTGTGAGGGTGAATTAAGAACATATATGTGAGAACCAGGTTCACTTATAGGGAAGCAAATTTCAGCTCAAGCCTAGAAGCACGTCTAAGATTTAGAGCCAAACAACAATGAAAGTGCCCAATACAGGCAGTAAAAATTCACATTGCCTCCTCTCAGGGACTCAGTCACTGGTAGGGAGCTTGCCTGCATCAGGGTTTCCCAAAATGTAGTCATTTGCATCTTCACAGTTTTGGGGCCATATCCTATATAAGTACATTAAATTGATATAAAAATACATGGGTAAAATGTGTACAGTGTGCTAATCTTAAGTGTACAGATGGATGAATTTTCACAGAAGTCTGCACCTTTGTTATCCACCATCCAGAATGAAATACAGAACATACCCAGCACCCCTCCTGATCCTTCCCAGGCAAAAACCCTTCTCCCTCTAGGCAACCACTGTTCTTACTTCAGTCACTATCAATTTACATGATCTTGAACTGCCTATAAAGTGTGTCCATTTTTTAACTTAAAATTTTTCTTTAAGTAGATTCATTTTTTACAACTTCCTATTTGATTTACGAAATGACATCAATGAAATAGTCGTTTGATGTGCTAAGCATTTCCCTTCAATACACATTAAAATAAACGCACAGCTATCAGAAGGAGTTTCTTCGTGTACCAACAGACATTTTGTTTTTCAGAAGCCACCAGATGATTTCTGAGGTCCTTGAAACCTGAAGACTGTACGATATTGAGGTGATGGAGAAGGCATAAGTTTATGGGATGGCCTGTCACAATCCTGATACACCGTAGAGCCATCCATCCACCCACCCACCCACCCATCCATCTAAAACACCTGTTGAATATGTAGCTATGACTCTCAGGCACCAGACACGGAGAAGACCTCACTTTCTGATTTCAAGAGGAGGGAAATAGAAGAGTAAATCATTTCAGTGTGTGTTACGGTAAGTGCTACAGCTCAGGTAAGCACCCTCACACAGAGGAAGGGCGGTTTCCGGAGACAGGGCGGAGGGGAGAAGGTGGGTGAGCACTTCAGTCTCCACCTCTATCAGACACCCGACTTTGATCACTTTGCCGCAGCGCAGCAGCTGCGATCAACTTCAGCCTTCCTTAGCAACCGGACCGCACCGCCCTGGCTTCTTCCTATTGGTCTCACTGATCTTGATGGGCAGCTCTGCCAAGCAATCCCAGCTCTAAGCTCTAGGCTCCGCGCTTACTCACGGGAGGGCTCATAGGCGTCACCGCCCTCTCCGGGTGCCCCGCCCATTCCCGAGCGGCTTGTGGCGCATGCGTGGGCGTGTTGGGGCTGTGTGCAGGGCCAGCACGGAGCCGGAGCAGCCGCGGTGAAGCTCCTCGGCTCCGCCGAGACCTCCGTGTCCGCTCCTCGCCTTGGCCGCCGCCGTTTCAAGCCGTCGCGGTCGTCGCCGCCGCTGCCCCCGGAGGAGCGGCCGCCTATTGTCTTTCTCCGCGGCGAAGGTGCGGAGCTGCTCTGACTCGGCCCGCGGGGGAGCCCCGGGCGCCTCACGGTGAGAGCGCAACTTAGTTGGCGGAGTTTGGGAA